ACAGGGGACAAAACCCATCAGGGACACCATGGGCTGTCCCAGAGTGGGGTACAGGGGACAAAATTCATCAAGGACCCCATGGGCTGTGCCCCATTGAGGTACAGAGGACAAAACCCATCAGGGACCCCATGGGCTGTGCCAGACCCAGGTACAGGTGACAAAACCCTGTGGGCTGTCCCAGAGTGGGGTACAGGGGACAAAACCCATCAGGGACCCCGTGGGCTGTCCCAGACCCAGGTACAGGTGACAAAACCCTGTGGGCTGTCCCAGAGTGGGGTACAGGGGACACTTCAGTACCTTGAGGACCTCTCCAGGCACGGGTGGTGGGGACTGGAAGTGGACAGGGGTGTTGATGGCGGGGCTGGAGGCCACGGGCATGCGCTGCTGCTGCATGTAGCTCATCATCATCTGCTGCTGCACCCGCTCCCGCTCCGCTTCCTGCTGCGCCTGCTGCTTCATCAGCTCCATGCGCAGCCCGATGCGGGACGCCATGGTGGCACACGGGGCTGGCGGCCACGAGCCCGCCTGGCACACAGGTCACCCTGGCAGGGAAGCATGGCACGTCACCAACAGCCTCACACAGAGGGGAAGCTGAGGCACGGAGATGTCTCAGAGCACCCAGAGCACTGGATCGTGGCTGATGCAGGAGGGCTGGCTGGATGTCACAGAGAAGAGGAGCTGGTCCCACCACCCAGCCTGGCTGTGTCCCTCCCACGTGTCCTTCATGTCCCTCATGCCCCACATCCCTCTGCTGTGCCCCAGCCGGACCCTCTGAACCCTCAGCTGCCTCCTTACAGAAAACGGGTGAAAAAGTCAAAAGCTCCAGGAAGCTCCAGGGAAGGGGAACTGCCAAGGATGAGGATGAGGATGGGAAAAGGTGGCAGAGGTGGGATTGATAAGGAGAGGGGTGAAAAATTCAAAAGCAGCCCCAGGAAGCTCCACAGAGGGGGAACTGCTGAGGATGAGGATGGGGAAAGGTGGGCAGAGCTGGGATTGATGAGGAGAGGGGTGAAATGAGGGTTTGGCAGGAAGGGAACCCTGACAGACCCCGCGCCGTGCACTCACCCGGGATCCACTTCCCAAACACCGCAGCGCCAGCAGAACCCAGAACGAGCCCCGGGAGCGAAAGGGAAAGAGAAAGCGAGGAAGAAAAGCAGGAAGAAAAGGCCCGGCGGGTGCCAGGAGCCGGGGGAAGGTGGAACCCCCCGGGCCGGGCCGTGCCCCAGCCCGGCTCCGGGCTCCGGCGCGGGGCGAACAAGGCGAGCTCTGTGCGGGGCCGGCACGCGAGCGCGGGGACGGGGGGGACCCGCAGCGGCCCCCGCCCGGCACAGAGCGCCTCTTGTTCCCCCGGACAAAGGGGATGGAGGCTGGAGGGTGCCGGGGCACCGGGAGCCGCCCCAAGGCTTCCCACGGGGTTGGTTCCCCGGGCGGGGCTGGGATGCGGGAGGTACCAGAGGGGTGTCTGGAGCGCAGCATGGCAGGGAGGAGAAGGGAAAGCAGCGAGGGGAACAGGCAGGAGGGGGGACAGCAGAGAAATCTGGAGGTTTTTGGTGTTGAAATGCAAGTTTAGAAACGGAGGAGCCACGGGCGGTGACAGCCACCCAGAGCCACGCGCTACCCGGAGGGGAAATTAAATCAAAGCAACGCGATTACACAGCTCGAGAGCAGCTATTGAGCGGCGAGGGGAAGGGAATTAATTAGCCATGGTGGCCTGGCCGAAGGGGGATGGGAGCCCGGAGCCGGGGACAGCGATCCGCTGGAGTTTTGTTAACCGGGAACAGCCTTGGAGGGGGGCACGGGGAGGGATTGGGATGAGAAACGGCAGAACCCTGGAAAAGACCCCAGTGAGAGCCCCCAGAGGATGGAACAAGGCTGAATTAATGGGGAAACCCCAAACTGATGCTCACAGGGGATGCAGAACCCCAAACCAAGGCTGAATTAACGGGGAAACCCAAAGCTGATTTCACAGGGGATGCAGAACCCCAAACCAAGGCTGAATTAACGGGGAAACCCAAAGCTGATGCCCACGGGGGATGTACAACCCTAAACATGAAAGGAAGGGCAAAAGGCTTTTCTCAGGAAGGGCTGGCCCTCGTGGGTGTCACAGAAGGGTGCCCCACAGCACCCACGGAGCCCTGCTGGCCCCGGTGCCACCACCCAGCCTGGCTGCAGGACTGTCCCCTTGCAGAAAAGGGGGGTGGTGGGAGAGTCAAAAACTCCTGAGAAGAGCTGCACAAGATGAGGATGAGGATGAGGAAGGGTGGCCAAGGCTTGGCTTGGTGAGAAGAGGGGGGGGAATATTAGGTCAGGTTTAAAATAACCCCTTTGGTTCTGCTTGGCTTCTCCCCCACCCCCCAAAATGCCGAGCAGCTTCTGCTTTCGCTCTGAGTCAGCCGCGGCAGCAGGGCGGCAGCGGGACAGCATGGGGACCCGGGGCCCACGTCCCAGCCTGGGGACACATCTGATCCACGGGGACAGCCATGGAAAGGCTGGAACATGGAATATGGAACGGCAGCTCCACCCTGTTATTCCTGCCAGGGCACCCAGTGCTTCTCCCACCGAGCCAGAGCCATCCCAGCACCAGTGGGAGCCCCAGACTGGTCCCTACTGGGAGAACCCAAGCCAGGCTTATCGCTGGAGGCTGCAACACCTACAAGAATCAATTCTCCAGCTTTTTTTTCCCCCTTGAGGATAGTTGGGAACCCTTTTAAAAAGCTGGAGAGGTGGGAGAGAGGCATGGGGAAGGAGCAGGGGTAGGGAAATAAAAAATCAGGAGAGGTTTCCCAGGCTCATCCTGGTGAACAGGGAGGCACAAGACTGGTGGGAGACCTGGAGTGGGAGATGGGAAAGGGACGGAGGGGTGGAAAGGGAGGGAAAATCTGGATGATCCCAGCCTGTGTCCACAGCCCAACTGTGCTCTCCCTGTCTGGAGGAACACAGGACACTGCCCAGGCTCCAGCCCTGTTCCTCCAGCACCCCCAGCCCCACGGTGGGGCCGGAGCCAGGGAATGCATCTCCCTTCCAAACATCTCTGCTGCTGCTCAGCAGCACGGTTATTTGTGGTTATTTCTGGCCCTCCCTCGCTCTCCCTCTCCGGGTGTTATTTCAGCAAGAACCCAACGTCCCGGGATGGCACTCGGGGGTGGCTCCAGCTGGAGGATCCCCAGAGCTGTCCCAGCCCTCCCTCAGCCCTCCCAGGACTTCACACAAGCCCGAGCTGTCCCTCAGCCCTGCGGTGACAGCCGGTGGTGACACGGGGGTGGCTGCTCAGCAACCACTGGGACGTGCTGGAGGGACATCGGGTGCTGCCCCGCAACCAGGCTGGTGACAGAGCCACTGCCCGTGCTGGCACCCAGTGCCACCTGAAGGGACACAACACCTGGGAGAGCCACAGCAGTGTCCCCAGGCTCAGGTGTGGGTGAGAAATCCAAGCTGCCCGCAGGCATTTTCCAGATTTAGCCCCGGGGATTGTGTTACCCTCCCAGGGGAGGTGGCACCGGGTGCCTGCCAGGCACGGTCACAGTGAGTGCCACACACCTCCTGCCACCCCTCTGAGAGTGGGGAGTGATGCCCTGGCGAGCTGAGAACCCCCAAACTCACTGCACGAGGCCCCTCTCCCTCCCGTGTTTCATTTCCCGGTCGATCGTGGCCGTCTGTGAGCGGAAAAATCAATCAGCAGCTCCGGGAAAGGAGGGGGGACAGGGCAGGGACCCCCGGGAGAAGGAGGGGGGACAGGGCAGGGACCCTGCACCCCCCCAAACCCCTCACTGGTCTGGGAACTGAGGGGCAGCCAAAGGGAAAAGGAGAAGAAAGAAGTGAAAACAGCTTTGGTGCTCGCCACCAGCCGGCCCCAGCCTTCCCTTCCTTCCTTCCTTCCTTCCTCGTTTTTCATTTTCAAACACCAGGGCTGGGGAGGGAGCACAAGAGACCCCAGCCCGGGCAGGCACAGCTGGGTGCAGGCATCCCCAAAGCCAGGCTTTGCTCCGATGTCACCGAGCTGTCACCTCACCATGCACCCAAAAAGCCACCCCATGTGTGCCCCAGCCTGGGGACGGGCTCTGCTGTCCCCCTGCTGTGTGGGGACAGGGGACAATGAGGCTGGAGCTCCCTGGGTAAAGAACAGAGGGGCTGGGGGACCCTGCAGGGTGATACAGGGGCTTGGGGACCCTGAAGGTTCCAGGACCAGCAGGGTCACAGGGGGGTTGAGGGACCCAGCAGGGTCACACAGGGGCTTGGGGACCCTGCAGGGTGACAGAGGGGCTTGGGGACCCTGAAGGTGCCAGGACCAGCAGGATCACAGAGGAATTGGGGGACCCAGCAAGGTCACACAAGGGGCTTGGGGACCCTGCAGGTTCGAGGGCCAGCAGGGCACAGAGGGGCTGGGCTGGGCTGGGGGACCCTGCAAGTGCCAGGGCCAGCAGGGTCACAGGGGAGCTGAGGGACCCTGCAGGGTCACACAGGGGCTTGGGGACCCTGCAGGTGCCAGGGCCAGCAGGGCACAGCTCCCCCTCGCTCTGGGCCAGCCCCTGTTCCTCATTTTCAGCAGCCACGCAGGGTGCGGGGGGGGGGGAAGTTGAAAAAAAAAAAAAAAAAAATTAAAAAAACCCTCCGAAAACCTGCTTGTTTTTGTCACTGCAGCACAGGAGTGAGCAACAGGGCTGAGAAAAAGCGTGGAAAAACTGATGCAGCCACAGGGACGGGAGACAGGGCTGGGTGTGTCCCGTGGGGGCGGCAGGGACACCTCTGCAAATGCAGAGAGGCAAAAGCTGTCCCTTGTGTCCCTTGTCACTGCAGGGGATGTGGCACACAGGGGTCCCTCACCCTCCGTGTGCCCAGAGTGGGTGCAGAGCAAGCACCTGGATTATGGGTGGAAAAGAGGCTGGAAAAGACAAAGTTCAGGGAGCTGACAGGAAAGATGGAGAGAGAAAAGGGCCTGGAGTGCCGGGACAAGGGGAATGGCTTCAAACTGCCAGAGGGCACGGCTGGATGGGATATCGGGAAGGAATTGCTCCCTGTGAGGGATGGAATTCCCAGAGAAGCTGTGGCTACCCCTGGATCCCTGGGAGTGTCCAAGGCCAGGCTGGGACAGTGGGAGGTGTCCCTGGCCAGGGAATGAGCTGAGCTTTAAGGTCCCCAAGCACTCTGTGATCACACAGCTCAGCAGCACCCGGGGTCCCTCCAGCTGGTCCCCAATGTGGCAATGCCACCCGTGTGACAGTGCTGGGGACAGCCCAAGGCTGCTCTGCACCACGTCCCTGTGCTCCCTCCAGGCCAGGAATGCAGCTGGACCCACCTGGCCCTGCCAGGCGCCCTTGGGGCACTCACCCACACTTGGCGAGGCCACCACAGGGGCGATTTACACCCAGTGCCAGGGCTCAGCGAGAATCCTTCATCTCCCAGGGAATGCCTGGGGTGGGCAGCTCAGGAGGGATCTGCAGGACAGGGGGGTCAGGAAAGGATTCCTCCCCACAAACAGGGAAACCTGGCAGTAGGGCCATCCTTGGAAACCCTGAGCCAACACCAACACTGGCCACGAGGTCGGACCAGAGGCTCCAGACATCCCATCCAGCCTCTGGGATGAGGATGGGTGGGAAAACAGAAGGATAACCCCATTTCCAACCC